TTCACCGCAATTCAATATAATGTGAATAGGGAAGAAAGTGTTTTTTGATGTCATTTACTATCTCCATGTTTCAAACAAAACACTCGAATAATACCTAACTCAATTATATAAATTATTTCCTTAACAAAGCTCAAAGTGACAAAGGGGAAATACAAGCTCCCAAAACTAAAATTAAAATAAGCTTATCTTTTCACACTTACAAAAAATCTAACTTTAGAAGCAAATACGAATAAGAGAAAGACAACCCACATACTAGATGTCATTTCGTTTAAAAAAGACATAAAGAGACATTACTACACAAAATTAATCATAAAATTAGAAATCTCAAAATGACTTATGAAAAATTTCAAATGAAATGACATATAAAACCTTTCTAAAAAAAGAAACCAATCTATAAAAACTCTTTACAACAAAAATGACCGAGTGCTTTTTACGTTTGGCGTGGTATAAAATTAATAAAGTTTCATAAAATAAATTTTTTTTGTTGTAAACCATTTACAAAACTTATCACAAAATATCTCATAAATTTTTTCTTGCATAGTTTTCAACATAGCCTTCGCATGAAGCTTAAAAGATAAAGGATGACCTAGATTTAAAATAAACACAAAGACATCTCAAAGCTTTTTAACTTCCATACTATAAACCATCAAACATTCCAAGAGAGTTTGTAATCCAAATTCATAATCTTCCTTTAGAGCCAAAACATTTATAATCCAAATTTATTCTTTGTCTTTTGAGCTTCATGCGAAGGCTATGTTGAAAATTATGCAATAAGAGTTTTATGAGTTATTTTGTGATAAGTTTTGTGAATGTTTTACAACAGAAAAAAATTATTTTATGAAATTTTATTAGTTTTACCCCACGCCAAATATAAATAGCACTCAGTCGTTTTTATTGGAAAGAATTTTTATAGATTGTTTTCTTTTTTTTAGAAAGGTTTTATATGTCGTTTCATTTGAAATTTTTCATAAGTTTTTTTGAGATTTTTAGTTTTATGATTAGTTTTGTATGACAATGTCTCTTTATGTCTTTTTTGGAACGAAATGACATCTAGTATGTGGGTTGCCTTTTTTTTGTTCGTATTTGCTTATAAAGTTAGATTTTGAATAAGTGTGGAAAGAGAAGCTTATTTTGCTTTTAGTTTTGGGAGCTTGTGTTTCCCTTTTGTCACTTTGAGCTTTGTTTAGGAAATAATTTGTGTAATTGAGTTGGGTATTATTCAAGTGTTTTGTTTCGAATGTGGGGGCAGTAAAGGGCATAAAAAAATCTTCTTTCCTATTCACATTATATTGAATTAGCGTGAAGGACATTTTAGAGGCATACTTGATTCCAAAGAAGTATGCACAATGATAAAAATATCTACATTCTTTTTATTTTTTATTTTTTTTCTTTTTATTGCATTTTGTCATCTTTTTCCTTGCTTTTAGTCTTTCTGTCGCTTCTCTACTTATGCTTTAAAATTGAATGTTTGCAAAAATAAGAAAATCCAAAAAGAAGGTAAGTGGCCCACCTGATGTGCAAATAACAAAAAGCTTCCTTTTGGAGAGCAAAAGAGAATGAATATTGGAGCACTAGGTAAAGGAGTATTGACAGTCGGATCCGAGCATTAGTCGACCCCATTCAGTTTGGGGGGGTGTTATGGGCGGAACCACCGGGTCATAGCCCCTGGTGCTGTAAGTCTCCTTAAACTTAGGAAACCTTTAAGGGCCCCAATGGTTGTATGCTCTATGCCCTTTAGGACCCTATAAAAACTTCAGTTATAACTAACATGTACGAATGTCCTGAGGGTTAGAAACAAAACTTCTTTTAGTCTCATAACTTTAGTAGCATCTAAGGACAAAAATTAAAAAGCGAGTCTTATATAACATAGAATTAAGGTGCATGCTCCTTATACGATAGAGACTTCAAAATATAAATTTAGTGACACGTTTTTCTAGGTTTAGTGTGTTTTAATCTACTAATAATCAACCAATCAAATCAACCTTAATCTAACTTTTAAAAATGTACTAAAACACTTAATTAGTATTCAAATCATAATTAATAATTCATAATCATTAAAATGTAAAATATAAATCAAATTCAACAAATCTAATAATCAACTTCTAACTAACTTAAAGTTTAAAAGATATAGATTAAATTAGGAGATCAAATCTAAAACTAAAACTCATTAAGATAAAATACTTCTAAAATCAAACCTTAGACAAATATTTTAAAATCAATTAACAAACTTCTTGATTAATAAACGGTCTAATTCACTATTTCTTTTTAGTTTATAAACAACTAAATTAATTTAATAATATTGGTTCTCATCGAAAAAATCAGGCCTACGAGACTATTAAGTTAGCTCTAAGGAGGTGAAATAAACCTCACGGCCTCGGTGAGAAACAAATGTGGTAATCAACCAAATACTAAAATAAAATATTTAAAATTAATCTTAAAATACTAATATTTTAACTTCAATTAAAACTTCTCTTTGGCCTTTAACAAATTAAATACAAGCAACTTTAACTAAATAATCCTATATAGGACTTACCCAATACTACACAGCCTGCTACACGCACATAGACTTGTTTGTTAGGACATGACTACTAGATTTAGATTAAACCGATGTTCTGCTTTTTTTTCTGTTTCTGTATTGTGGTGCTTTTCATGTGACCCGTGTGCTGGTTGTTCTTGCTGTTTGTTTTAGCTTTCTGTGATGTTTTTCTGTGATGATTACTTGTTCTTTTTATGTACTGTGTTGTGAGCGATAGAATATCCATAGGTTAGTAACGCTTTTTATACTGACGATGTTTTTATGCAGATGACCGTGCTCACACAGCGTTAAAAGGGGACTAAAAATTAATAAATTATATAACAGCTTTAGGTGCTTCAACTGCTTAGCCCCAAATAAAATAGAGCACGACAAAGTGTAATTGATTTGAGCATTTTATTTTCATATATACAACTGCTTGGATGTTTTATTATAACTGCTTAGGATAACTCTGCAGGAGAGTCTAGATTTTTTTTTTAAAATTTTCTGATGTAATGTATTTGGTGTCAATTATTGTGAAAATCTAAAATAAGACATTTTTAAATGTAAATGGGTCTAAAGGGAAAAATAAATCTCTTATAAGGAATTTCCTTTTTCAATTGTGCATCCTTTTGGATGACTCACTACGAGGAACCTGAAGGAAGACGATCTATAGACAAATCAAGAAAGTGAAGATCAAGATAAAAAATGTCTTGTTTTAAGATTTGCGTCATTTCTTAGGAGTAAAACCCGGGTTATTATTGGTGGAGCCCGACCACCACTTCTTTTCTGTACTCTGTGATGTACATTGTATGACACTTATCATGAATTTGGATACTTTTCTGTGATTTGTTGAGACGCTTATTTATTTTGTTTCGTAGTAGAACTAGCATGCTTTTTATATATTTCTTTTTTGCATGTGCATGTGCCTGACTCGCTAGGCTTTTAGGAACAAAATTCTTTTACTCGTAATCAATAATAAAATTTTCAGAATTAAATAATATAGAAACATAACGATCTAGAGAATAGCCGGAATCATCCGCGGTCGCATGCATCTTAATGCATTCTCTTCTCTCCCTTGTTTAGACATTTCCCCGTTTGCGGGTAGAGTCCGGATAATCTGACATATGAGGATGAAGTGCCGGATTGAGAAAGTTTAGTCTTTCTAAAAAAATTATTTTATAAGCCTTTTTAAAATTGCATACATTTTTTATTTGGAGATTTTGATCAGCACGCATCACATTAGCAACTAACTGAAATTAAAATTTAAATGCATTAGTTTTAGAATTCATAAGTGTGGGGTCACTTAGGAACTTCTCTAGATATCGATCCCAAATTCCAAAGTTTAACCACCCACCCATCTTTCATATAGACCGGATATCATGAATTTTATACGACTAGGTGGTTTTAGTTGACTTCCTTTTTCAGGCAAGGTATAAGTCCAAGTTGCATTAGTTAAGTAGTAGATGTTAGTGTTGTGTGTACGATACTATATCTTTTATATATTTAAGATATAAGGCTAATGGTATGAGTGTACCACTGTACGCCTTAATGGTGAGTAAGCTCTCTATTCTGTCAGAGGCTATAAATTCTATTGAGCTGCATCACATAGATGACGCCACCTCCCTCTTTCTCTCACGCATGCTTACATGCAATTGTCTTTTTTTTTTTTCTCTAGTTTTCTCTTCTTCAAACCGGCCGAGCGTTGATACTGAACCACGTATGATGATTAAACCAAATTAAGCATCTCTTCCCTTTTAATTAGGAAAGCCTAGAAATTCCTTTGTGTTAAATCCTTTTGAGAAGATTATCTAACATCCTTAATTGATAGTTTTCTTAGAATGAGGTCTAAGATGTAATTAACTACGGGGCTTACGATCGTAGGAAATCGATCCCTACATCAAATAAACCCTATTCGAGCTGATGCATCGAATAGAGGAAATCTCGTGATATTTTGGGTTATACATTTTATTATCTATCGAGGTGTGTAGGCGAAAGCCGCTATCATCCATGACTAATCGTATGTATGGCTCAATCTGCTCTTCCATCGGCCTGGATATGTCGAGTATAAAGGTCTACGGTCGTTTTGTCCTATAGGATAGTGCGGTCGTACTCTTTGCATTCGAACCCCATAAGCAGAATCCTTTCGGAGACCCACAAATTAGTTTTCAGTGGCATTGGTATCTGGGAAAATTTGCAATGAATGACGCAACTTTGAGCAATCAATAGCTAATCTATTTCATCCTCTCAATTTAGCAGATTTTGCTTCATTTTTTAATTTCCTACTAATTTCTATAACTGTCTATACCCTTCATCTTCTCAAACATTGATCAGCATTTTGTTTAATCAACAGAAGATCAAGTTTGTTTAAGAGTTTTGTGCCATTTAAATTATTGATGCTGAGTTTTAATTTGGTTTTCGAAGTGCTTAACATTGTTTTGTTTCTGATTCACAGTGAGCTTTTAATTATTTTGAGCTTAAAATCATTGTATTACAATATAAAAAGCGACAGTCTAACTTTTGTCTATTGATGTCATTATGCAGCCAAAAGTCGTAAATGCATTTCAAAGAGTAAAAGTTGAAGAAGTTCAGTATGCTGATGAAAGAATGCAAGACAACTCTTATTGGGCTCTGGTATTCCATTACTGTTGATTTCTTCATCTCCATTTTTTAAAGAGCTTGGGAGGCTACCACTTGGTCCTGTGGCTGGTGGTTACTCTTAACTTTTATTTACAATGTCATGCCATACTTACATCTTTGATGTCATTCGATGTTATTAACAGGATGATTCAGGATCTGGTTATGGTGCGAAAGCTCAAGAAGTTCTGGGTCAAGTTAGAGGAAGGTACTTTTCATCAACCTGTATTTTGTGTCTGTATATATATATATAAATTTTTCTTGGTTTTTTTTAATACTTCAGATGGTAAATTTTTTGTTTATTTTCTCATCCAAGTATAAAACATTAAAATTTCATATTTTCAGTCATCGCCTACCTTGTTTGAGGTATTGTAGGAGGCTAGATTAAGAAGGCTATTGAGCAAAGTAACTTTAAGATACAATGAGGAGATGACTCTTCATTTTTTTTTATGACCTGTAAAATGATGAAATATTTTTGACCATTCTTGTAATTTTTTCACAAGGAAAACTATTGAAGTACTAATTTTGTTCAAAAGAAGAACATTCTCTGTGCATCTATTGTAATGGTTGCTTGAATAGTTCAGCACAGCTTCTGGTGGCTTCAAAACGGATCGAGTACATAGCTTTGCTTGTTTACACTATGAAAAACTACTTTTATCTTTGATGCTCATTTTATGGTACTCATTCTTTTCTTTTTTTTTGTTCGCCATTAGATATCTGTGATAATTACTAAGGGCATCTAAAAAATGAGCGGTTAGAATTTGTTTACAGAGCTGAGAAAATGAGCTTATAGAATGTTAAGTTGATGGTGTAATTATTGTGGATTAAACCTCTCAAACTGATTTATTGGTGATAGATAGCATTGTTTATACCACCTCCCTCTTCCTGGTCGTGTCACAGTTTGCGATCCAATTTCAAGTCTCGACCTTTATCTTAAGCCAGGTCAATCAATCCATCTCCAGCCAAGTCCAATCTAGTTGTAGGATGGCTCGATCCAATCTTAATTTGAGCCAAACATGGCTCATTAACTTTGATGCATGCTCGATTTGGCCCTACATGTTTCAATTTCTATTAGTTTTTAATATATTTAGATAACTTCTTAGACCTACATACTTACACTAATAGATATAAAGATTCATACGGGCATATACATTTTAATATATAAACATGTCCATTTAAATCTCCTCCAATAAAACTAATAATACACATTAGATTTCATGGTGCACAAGACGGTTCTACATCAAATTACTAGTGTTTTGACTCTTTCTATTTCCTATCAAATTGTCATTTTATATAAATTCGCAAATTTCTTTGCTTGTTTAGACCTTTCAATGCTTTCCAAAGCCCTACATGAGGTCCTGGTTGGGTACCCATTGGGTAGCCATGTTTTACTTGGACGGGCTTCACCCACCCACACCCACCCATGATGACTTTCGGGATTTCGTACCCACCTATACCGACCCACTTTTCATGTTTTTTGAACGCAGTCTGTCACGGACTGATGGCCTTGAGGCTTGTTGTCATTTCCTATGATGGCAAACTTTCAAGTCGCATATCAAAATTTATCGTACTCATATCATGGTTAAGTACTGCACAATACGTAGTGATGATTGCAGTAGTATAAGTAAGATATACAGTGATTAGCAATATAAATCGATTTATCCCTCCATGTTTAATACCCACCTATACCCACCCATAAGGTCATGGGCGTACCCATACCCACCCATACCCATTGGGTATGGGTGGGTGTGGATATGGGCACCCAATGCAGGGCTCTGATGCTTTCCCGTTACATTTGAAAAAGGATGGCAACACTGCTAATTGTTTAACCTTAAATTTGCAGAGATTTCAGGCATGAGAAGACCAAGAAAAAGCGTGGAACATACAGGGGAGGACAGATAGATTTACAATCTCACTCCATAAAATTCAATTATTCAGAAGAGGAATGACCTCAGGATCATCCACAAAAGTATTATTTTTGAATTGCTCCATCCCCGACTATGCCAGAGAGAAAATTTGAGTAAAAATATCTTAATTTAAATTTGATTAGAATGTATTTTATGAGCATTGTATTTACTTTGAGATGAGCGCAACACTTGGAATATATTTTATGATCATTATATTTACTTTGAGATTAGCGCAACACTCAAAATTTATGTCATCATATATCTCAAAACAAATCAATGATTATTTTGATCAAATTTCGTTCATCTTCAAGATATCTATTTGGAGATAGCTTTATTTGCGAGGAAACAATTCAATTTTGTATCTTTGATGTTTTTATAAGTTTAATTTAGCACCCCATTTCTGAAAAAGTTATTACGTTCAGTGTTCGGATGCGTTCGAAGTTCAATTCAGGTGTTTCATGTCATCAAATACATAATGCATTAGATGACGTGGCGTATTCGGATTGGCCTCAATGCACATTCTCCGCACAGAATAATCTCTCATATTTTTGCGATTTTGTAAGTTGTGTTAAATTTTTATTATTTAATCAGCAATTAGACATGAACTTGAGTGTTTGTTTATTCCTTTGATACTTTTGTTGACTTGTTGCTAGAACATAACTGAAAAGGGTGATTTCCCTTTCTTAGTTACCAGATACTGTCATTACCACCCTTTTTGGACTTTCTCATCTTTGTTTGGTTCTGATTAGGAGATTCAAAATAATTTTTTTTTCAAAATAAAATTTTATCAATGATGAATCAAATCCCAGGTGAGAATTTTACTCTTAATAGGATGCAATGGAAAAATAGATTCATGTAACCGATCCCATATAAGAAATAATAAGAAATTTAGGCTTCGTTTAGGACGGCTTTTTCACTGCTTCTCATAGCAGTTTTTTAGTACAAATTTTAATTTTATATTAAAAAGTTGCTTTAAGAGTCAGTAAAAAAACCCGTTTCAAACAAAGCTTTAATATATGATTTCAATCCCATTGCATGATCTCATCAGTTAAATATAATTTATAATTTTTTTTCCTTTTTCTATAATATTTTTAAAGATTATTTTATTTTATATCATATAAATATTAATTATAAATATTAGTTAAAATTATTTTGAATATAAAAAGATTACTTAAATCTTTCTTTCACTCTCCCCATATGTCTCTCCATCCACACACTCTCTCCTCAATTTTCTCTCTCCCTCTCTCTCCCAATTTGTATTCTCTTCCCATCTCTCCTCATTTCTCTCTCATACTCATTTCTCTCACCTATTTTAGGTGAATATACCAAATGATTTGACACATTCAAAATTACCCAAATCATTTGGCGTATTCAGACTATGCTAAAATTTTTGACGAATTTGCTATTTTCTAAATTTTTTGTTTATCATGCTCCTTTTACATAATGATGCCTTAAACCTGCACCTTTCTATAAATTGCCCAAAGGGTGATTTCCCTTTCTTAGTTACCAGATACTGTCATGCTCCTTTTGGGTAAAATTTAGGCTTAGCCCGTTTATTAGATAACGAGAGAAAAATTACAAGTAACAAATCTCCAAAAAAATATCTCCCAGGAAGAAGAGAGCACACCTTGCCCGGAGCCAAAACCTGCACAGAAAAAAGTGCAAAAGAAAGACAGAAAAAACAGAAGTCCAAAAATAAAAGCTCCCAAATCAAAAATAGCTTGGACTCAGGATTAAAGAATGCTAATCATCTAGTCAAAGAAAGAGATCCCCTGGTTCCCCGTAGACCATCCAAGGGGAGCCTACAAAAGGAGCTTCATCATTGTTCAAGGCTATATCAAAGGCAACATCAAGCAGCAATTCAATGATCCCAATCGAGAGGCGGACTGAATCAAAACCATAAGGAGCAACACCATCCGGGAAAAGAGAAAGCCCATTCAAAAAAATTCCAGCATAGAATAAGCAGATTTCCATGTAATCACTTTCTAAAAAATAGCACTTTTGATGCAGATAGTAGTAGTAGTGCAGCAGCTTGTCGAATTGCCAAACCTCCTAATATTCATCTCTTTTCAAATGTAGTAAACCGAGCAACAAGTAAAGAGATGATAAAGATTTTCACTTGATTCCTCACATCCAATTCATCATTTATCCACTCACCAAGTTGCAAGAAAATAGGTCTTAATAGAAGCCTCATGACAGGAGGCATAAGATCAGAAAAAACAGCATAAGAAAATGAGCATTAAAAAAAAAGTGAGAAATAGTTTCCGGAAAAACGTGACAGAGATTGCAGATAGATGGAACTTGAATGTTCCTAAGGTGCAAAGCATCAGCCGTTTTCATGCCACCCACCACAGCAAGCCAAGCCTAACAAAAGTATCTCAAGACATGTTTAAGATGCCAAACCAAGTTATCCCAAGAGCACTTCAGTAATTGAGAATAAAATTCACGAATATAATGCTTAAATTTGTTGTTAGGAATCTTTCCCCATAATAAACAAGGACTGGAGCTATCAAAAATATTGATAGCAAGTATCTGGTTTCGAAGAGAAAGGGGAACAAAATCAAGCAGAGACCAAGCCATACCCGTAATAAAAACCTTAAGAGTAGTTTTTGGATGAGTGGCATTAAGTAGAGGGAGACCATCAGAGGAATTAGCAATTATATCATTGTGAAACCAGTGATCCCAATGTAAGGAGATGGGGGTAAGATAATTAACTTTCAAATTAAAATTATTCTTAGCAGAAATAGCAGTTATGCATACATATTTCGAGAGATTGGAAGCACCCAAAGGAGCAGGACACCAAGGAGAGGTGTACCTACTAAATAACAATGCAGATAAAGGGGATTTGGCATTGTATATCTTGAGAATTAACGAACAATTAAAGCCAAATTGAATAACATGTATGGAGGGAAGCTCGAGCCCTCCATTATGTTTTGGGATACAAACTTTATCCCAAGATACCATATGCATTTTTCTGACTACAGCAGGATCACCCAAAAAAAAAAAAAAGAAACTTAGAGCAAGATTTCTTAAAGAATTTAAGAACTGTTTTGGTAATATAGATCCCCGAATCCAGTAAGCAATAGAATTTAGAATAGTATATCTCAGGAATTGTAAACGACCCGCAAATGAAAGTAGGTTAGCTTTCCATCCAAATAATTTTTTTAGTAGTACTATCCATGAGAGGCATAAAATCAGCAATTTTTAGTCTAATAAAAGACAATGGAATGCCTAGATAAACAATTTTAGAGCTGATAGTAGGGATGGACAAAGCTTGGCAAATAACAGTTGAATTGGAAATGTTTCTTGGAAGCATAAGAGTGTTTTTATCATAATTCACATGAAGCACAGAGGCATTAGAAAAGGAGTGGAGGATGGTAGTTAATTTGTTACAGTTTTCAATCGTAGCTTCCCCAAAAATAAGTACATCTGCATAGAGGAGATGAGTGATAGTGAATCCGCCAAAGTAATCCCTTTAAATTCCCCATCATCCAAAAGAGAGGATAATGCATCCATGACCAAACAGAAGAGGTATGGACTAAGAGGGCATCGTTGCCTCAATCCAGCAGAAGTAGGAAAATAGCCTTGGAGGGCTCCATTAATCACTAACGAGAAGTTAACATCAGTAATACATGCTTTAATCCAATTCACAACAATGTTGGGAAAACCTTTCTGGATCAGTCTAACAAGTAAGAATTCCCTAGATACATTATCAAATGCTTTACGAATATCTAGTTTAACACAAAAAAACTTTAGACCACCTCTGTTACGAGTAAGAAAGAGAAGCTCATTAGCAAGTAAGATATTATCAGTGGAAACCCTAGCTTTAATAAAGCGAGACTGATTTTCTTTGACAAGTATAGGCCTGATAGGCTTTAACCTATTAGAAATTACCTTAGCAATAATTTTATAGAAAGTGTTACACAAGGCAATAGGTCTAAATCAGTCAAAGACTCGGCATTTTTATGCTTAGGGATAAGAGCAAGAGCAGTAGCTTTAATCCTACTAGGAAGATACCCTTTAGAGAAAAAGGAGTGCACAACTTTAATAATAATAGGGCCAATAATATGTCACCTTGATCTATAAAATGGAAATTGAATCCGTCTGGACCTAGGGAGGAGGTAGCACACCCTTTAAAAACCACCTTTTTTATTTCCTCATCAGAAACAATCTGAGTAAGAAGAGAAATATAAGCAACCGGAAGCCTAGCCCCAATTGGAAATAAACCAATATCCAAGAGGGATGGGGGGGAGGAGGATTATAAATAGCCTGAAAATGCTGAACAATGAAGGTAATCATATCATTACTATAAGAATAAGTAGAGGAAGCCAACATGTTAACCGCAGCTTTGTTGCTGCCCTGTCTACTCCTAATTTTAGCATAGAGGAACTTTAGATCTTCCTCCCCATGCTTAAGCCACTTAACTTTTGCTCTTTGAATAACCCAAGAAGCAAGAATATTAGAGAATTCAGCAAGCTTGTGATTGATGTCTTTCAAAGAAGCATTAAGAGAGATGCTATTAGGGTCATAATGAAGTTTTTCAAGACAAACCCCCTGCTATTTTTGAAGACCTTCAAGGTGAGACTTAATCAAAGAAGAACTGGCCCAAGCCTCTAATTTTAAATCCGCCTTAAAATTTTTGTGAATTTGACACAAGTGAGAAATTGGGTTCCTAGTCAAAGGCTTAGAGAAAACCTTAAGAAGAATAAACCTAAACCAATATTTATCAATATTGGAACAATAGTTTTTGAACAGGAATCTATGATGAGAAAAATAAGTTGCTCCAGAATGCAATACCATAGGGCAATGATTAGAACATGAAGGACTTTGAAAAGAGCTAAAAGAACTTGGAAAGATTCCAACCAAGCAATATTAATAAGTTCCCTGTCCAACTTTATGTGAATCAGATTGTCAGCATGCTGGTTAAACCAGGTGTATTTGCATCCAACAAAGTGAAGGTCCAAAAGACTGTTCTAAAAAATTATAGAGTTGAAGTCTACTAAATTATTGTCAGCAAGGGCCGACCCCCCATTTTTTCAGAAGCAAACCGACATCAATTAAAGTCCCCCACAAGAATCTATGGGACATGAGAAGGAGGAGAAAGCCGAGAAATTTGAGCCCAAAGATCCCTCATTTCAACACTTCTATTAGAAGCATAAATAGTAGTAAGCTGAAAACAAGGAGAAGAAGCAATCCTGACAGAACCAGAAATAAGCTGAGAAGAAATATGATCAGGCA